CCTCCACCCCTGACGATGAATACATGAATAAGAAACAGAAAGGGCTGAAGTGGAGCTGTTGATGAAATGTTGCCGTCTCTTCTTTCCAGAAATGACTTTGGGCAGAGGTGCCCAAAGTGGGGCCCGCGGGCCAAAATTGGCCCGCCGAGCCATTCGATTTGGCCCACCAGCAGTTAGGTTGTAATTAGGTTAAGATTAAATATAAAATGCAAGTAGCTACAAGAGACATCTAGATTAACGCCCATATACAGATTTGCACACCTTATAAGACCGCATATACTCAAATTTTAAATTATGAAAAGTCCCATGGGTCTTTGCTGCCTTAGCATACACTGAATTTTCTCCAAGTCCATGGGCTGAAAAAAAACTAAAGAATGTGGGCAAACACACTGGCTGGTTGTTTAAATAAAACAATTTAAGTATTTGCATTTCTTATATTACTGCATTTGGCCCGCGGCCCTCAGATTTTTTTTTTTTTTTAATTTTGGCCCTCTCAGGGAAAATGTTTGGGCACCCCTGCTAAAACGTAAAAAAAGAAAAAAAGTGTCCACTTTAAATTGGTTTTGGGGACTAAAACCTTCGTCATGTTGGAAATTCTCCATGTTATGTCTTCTTAATTTTTCTCAAATTGGAAAGATACCGACACAGGTAGACACACACGCACACACGCACACACACACACACACACACACACACAGAGAGAGAGAGAGAGAGAGAGAGAGAGACAGACACACCTTCACTCCTTGATCATCCTACCTTAAAACACTGAGCTACTTTATAACGGGGGCTGTATTATTATCCAACATCCACTTCAGCAATTAGCCTTAATGGACGATTTCCACCCAGCAATTAGCCTGTTGTTCATCAGMTAGGGTATCAGCAGCTGCTTTAATGAGCCGACAGGGCAGCAGGTGTGTCCTCACACAGCAGTAATCTGGTCAAGTTCTCCCCTTCAAACCCTCCACTGCAGCCTACAGGCTTGTAGCTAGTTCCTGTTTTATTTGTTTGTCCAGCCGCGCGCGCACGTGTGCGTTCTCGCCCCCCCCCCCCCCCCCCCCTCTCACAGCTCGTGTCAGTGTGCGCTAAAAAAGAATAAAACAGTGTCGAGCGCGAGACCCCGGCTCGTATTTCCGTTCCCCGTGAAGCCTTTTTTTTTTTTTTTTTCACCGACAGGGCGTTCCGAGAGCCGGATCAAAAGGATTTTTTTTTTCAGCAGCTACAAAGAAAATGGAAACAGGAGATGATTCTGGGATGGATGAGTTGACAATGAGTGCGCGCGCGCCACAGGAAGCGCGGATAATTTGGATTACTGACTTGAAGTTTGTCTCAGACTTTACCAAAATCTTTCATTAATGAATCAGTGCTCCTGTGCGCACCCAAAACTTATCAATTTTAAGGTTGTTTTTTCTTTTTTTTTTCTTTTCATGAGTTTAATATTTAGAGCTGGCATAATAGTCACTTAAAAGTAGTGATTCAATTTTCTCTCCTCCCTCATRCATGTGATGGTGACAGCATTCTGACTCCTTCACGCGCGTCTCGCGCTGTCCACGCTCCTTACCTTCGATCATCATCACTTGCACGTGCGTCCTGTGGGAGGTTCCCGTGGCTTTCCAACCCCCCCCCCCCCCCCCTTACGTTAAAGACTCCCCCCAAATCGTATCGTCCCACTTCAGGGAGCCATAATCACCTCTCTCGGGCTTCAGCGAGACATCTCATTGGACGTCAACACGCGACCAGCGCGAGGAGGGGGGCTTCCTGACGCGTGCCGCCTTTTAAACGGACGCAGCGCCTTGAGACACCAGAGACGGAGTCCCGCACGCGACTGTCTGACTACAGCAGCGTCACCACAAACTTTTTTAAAAATAATAATTATTATAAAGTTAGGGAAAACAAGTTTTTTAGTAGGAGGGTGGGCGGAAATATGGATGTGTTGTCTGTGGAAGGTTGGAGCAAAAGCGCGCGGGAGGTGGCGTCATCCCTGGACGCACTGCAGCAGGAGCGCGTGAGCCCCGGGCTGATGGAGGAGCGGGGAGGCACGCAGCATTTGGAGGAGTCCCGCTACGAATGCGGACTCGCGCTCGTGGACAGCGGCGGTGACCCACGCGCCTGGCTGGCCGAGGCTCCTGGCACCTGTGCGGCACGCGCCACTTCACAGCACCACCTGCGGCACTCGCCGTGCCCCAGCACCGGCTCCTACCAAGGTGAGGACACCTGTGCGCACTTCTGTAAGGAAAGTTGTTTTTTTTTTTTTTTTTTCTGAGACAAAGTTTGATTTTAAGTATCAGACACAGCGTCCTTAAAAGCATTTTATAGTTTAAAGATGGGATGATATGCAAATCAATATAAATAATTTTCGTTGTCTAACCATAATTGTTTGATCGACATTTTTAGAGAGCGGCTCCCCGGGGTCCTCGGGTCCTCCCAGCCCCCCCAACCACAGAAAATCCGCCAAGAGCCCCTCCTCTTCCTCGCTCAAAGTCAGAGACCTGTGCCGCCTCAAAGGAATGACCGCGGGACCCGAAGCGGACGCCTCCGCGAGACAGAGAGCCCCCTCCAGCAAGCCGGTCAACGGGGTCCAGAGACAGAGACGCGTGGCCGCCAACGCGCGCGAGAGAAGGCGCATGCACGGCCTGAACCACGCGTTCGACGAGCTGCGCAGCGTCATCCCGGCGTTCGACAACGACAAGAAGCTGTCCAAGTACGAGACCCTGCAGATGGCGCAGATTTACATCAACGCGCTGGCCGAGCTGCTCCAGGGCCCGGCGGCGGCGGCGGCCAGCGACGAGTCCTGCGACATCACGCTGTCACCTGCCGATGGTTTCGAGGGGACCGAGGAGGGGGCCTCTCAGCCCGCAGCCACCTGTAGGACAGCTGTTCACATCGGCGGGATGCCGTTCCGTTCCTCCCTCCAGGAGGGCGCGTTCTCCGCCGCGGCAAAAGAAGTCCTGTGCTCCCGGGAAGGTGCGTCGCAGTTCGGCGTCGGAAGGAAAGGCTCCCCCCGCAGCGATGGGGAGTTCTCCCCTCATTCCCACTTCAGTGACTCGGATGAACTCGCAGTGGAGCTTCACTCGAGCGAAGAAGATGATCTTTCAGAACTCAAACTGGCCCGCCACCATCAGAACACCGGGTCTTTCTGAATGATGAGAAATAAGCACACAGACTACATGAAGGTTCACTACAATAAGAACAGGCCTGATTCCCGTAAACAGTGTCAATCATACACATACAGTCTGGGATTTTTAGGATTTCTTTTTTTTTCTTTTTCTTTTTTTAATTTTTAAACAAAAAAGTCATTTTTAATCCATTAATTGTATTTTATTTTTTTATGTGAGATACAGGCCTAATTCGGTTCTGCCAATAAATATTTACAATATTGTCACTAGAGACGTGGGCGGAAGACCCCCCTGCCATGTCGCGCTCAGCACCGCCACGGGCATTTCCCACGTCCCTCCAACRAAAACCTGCTGTCTTCCACTCAACTTCACGGAAAACACTGTCACGTTTTGCTCAAAGTTGTTAAGAGAAGAACTGTTTTTAGTTTATACGTTTTGATGTGATTTGTGATACCTTTCTTTGTGTAATGTATTTGATTTTGCAACTTCTAAAGTTTATGATGTGCACTTTATAAACCTTCAGGCCAGAGGCTTCTGATTTGCGGTTTTTGTTCCCCAAACATTTTTTTGTTACAATTTGTTTGCTATAGTGTAGTACTGCCAACCCCAAAATAGCCTATTTAATGTAGCCATCAATGCTGCCTTTTTTTCTTTTCTTTTTTTTATATCATCAGACAAGCATGTGTTTTTTCTTTGATTGGTTAGATTTATGTATTTATTATGTTGTTGTTTGGTTTTTATAACTCTGTAGCTGAAGTTGCTGGAATAAAAT